AAGTCACGTATAGTCACGAGCATTCATGAACGTAGTCAAATTACTAAAAAGTCAAAAACTGTTATGGTGATTATTTTGATAATTTTAAGAATTATTTAAATTATTTAGTTTATACATATCTAATTCTTGATAATATAAAATTTATAAAAACATTATTAAATGTTTAGTACTCAAAAAATAATACTTTACATTAAATAATTTTGACATTCTGTACGCCCATGAAGCTCGTATTTATAGAGAAGAAATGTCATTACAGCAATTGGTACACCTTGTTGCGGTGTTGCAACCCCTTTTTAAAAAATTTCACTGATTTAGTTAGGTTATGTTTATGTTGAGTTAATTATTGATTGTGCATTTTGTTTTCTGTAATTTAAAATCCTTTTGCCTGTATTTTTAAGCTTTGCCAGTTATAATTATAAAAAATTGTTTTTCAAAACAACCATAGAGTGTATAAGCTGATTATTTGTTGTTTAATTTTTATATACAAAATGCCTAAAAACTAAATAGTCCTTGTAAGGAGTTGATAGCTTCTTTAATCCATTATTTTGAATGAGAGCGTGATAATGATGGACCACGTTTACCTTTAACTGCTGTAAGAGAGGTAAGTTACAAGTTATAAAATTTAATAGAAATATGAAATTATTTTCTTGTCTTTTTTAGTGTGTTGAAGCATCTCTAAATAAAAATATTTCTACTGTCAGTAGTATTTGGCAAGCAGTCAAGAATAATGAATGATTAAAATCGCTAATTAAAAAGCATTCATATAAACAAAGGATTACCTACTAATACAATAACACTGGATACAAGTGGAATCCGAAGTGGTATTTATAATATGTATGAAACAAGTAAGGGGTCCATAACACTTTAGTGTCACAAAAAGTAAGCCATTTAGAAAGAAAATAGAACCATTTTGAATGTGGTAGAGACTAATTCTTTACAAAAAAGTGCGGATTTTTTCAAAATATAACCATTTTTTTCTAACCTCAATTTTTTTATTTTTTGGAACATGAGTGAATTGTTCGCCGAGTTCAGGTACGAGTTTTGAAAAAATTTGTCAACACTCAAAAAAAACTAGTTTCTATAGTAAATTTTCTCAAAAAAATAGAAAAACAGCATTTTTCGAGAAAAATATAATGAAAAATTGAAGTGATCTAAAACCATATATTTTGTTGTTTGTAAAAATGCAGTATGTTTACCTATAGAGAGACAAATTAAAAAATATATTTTTCGTCATGAAATGTACCACCCCAAACATTTTTCCCATATTCGCACAAGAAAACATCACTAACAAAAAAATTGTATATTTGTTATACTGAAATATCAAAATATTTAAAAAAAATTACGTAACCGAACGCACGTAAAAAATGAATTGAATGTCGCCTGAAATGAAAGCATACCTAATTTTTCAAAAAAAATCGCTTCCCGGCCAACTGACACAGATCAAAGAATATACATTCTTGCTTCTCAGCTTAATATCATTACTTCTGCCAAACAAACCTAAGTTGTCTTATCTATTGATTGTTGCAGTAAACACAACATAAAATTTAAGAATATTTATTGATTTAAAAATCATATTTTTCTGCAATATGCTCATAAATAGTCTTTAATAAATAATCAATAAAACGCTTAAAACCTATGTAAAATATAAAAACACAAATAAAATTGCGATAAATGAAATCAAACTCTCGACAAACGCACAAAAGAGCATCCGCGAATCGAAATTACTACGCTTCTATCAAGTAATAGGTAGTTTTCAACATCCGCAATAAAAAATAGTTCCAACTTGGAAAGGCCATTTTTTTGAATTTTGGCTATAATCCGCAATTTTTTTTCCAAAAATCAAGAAATACCTATCTGTAGTTTTATTTAAAACATATGTCAAATCTGTAATTTTGTGACACTAAAGTGATATGTCACCCAAGTAAGTATAAAGACAAATCTATTTATTCAATCATAATTTATTTATATTACCTATAAAAGTTTTAATTTGTATACAGTAATATAAATACATACTTATTTGCAGGTCAACATATAACTTTGGAACCTTTAAGAGAAAAGTTGATTGAGAGACAAATGTTTAATGGCTATATTGCATCATTGTCAACTGTATTAAAAGAATGAAGGAAAAAAGATAACCAAGACGTGAACTGTAAATAGGTCAGTTTTTAAGAAATTATAGAATTACAACAGAAGCAATTCATTGTCATTGATGAAACATGTATCGTCCAAAATGAAACATTAAACAGCTCCTGGGAAAATAATGACAAAGGGTGTTAGACCTACAAAAATTGATGGCAAGAAATAAAACCAAATTTGAAGCAAATTAAGGTATCAGTAATTGTGTAAATCAAGTAAAAATAAATATTAATATTGAAATAACATCATATTGAAGATTTAATGGTAGATACGTTACTCTAACAATCATATAAAGACAATTTAATTGGAAAAATTTGATTACAATGGTCAATAAACATCTACATGTTTTACACATTTTCAAGATGTACAGTGACACCCAAAAATGCCTTTTTTTTTTAGAAATAAACTTTAAAACAATATCAAAAAATTAAAAATGAAGTTACAAGATTTGATATAACGGTGTACCTAACATTAAATCATTGATATAATGTGTTGTTTAGATATTACAGTTTAGAATATAGTGATATTGACACACGTTATACGAAATGGCAACTAAATAGAACTAAATAAAACATTCTTTTTTCAGGTGCAAACCGCCAAAGAAATATATGGTAGATAATTACCTAAGCAGAACAATATAGACAAAGTATTACGTAATCTTCCCTGCCATTTTATTTTTAACTCCATTGAACTTATTTGTGACCTTTCTAAGCAATATAATAATAAACATATTGGCAGAGAGGGATTTTTTAATAGATTGAAAATTATTTTTATTATAATTAACCCTAATAGCGATATCGATGACTGCGATTCAAATACTTGCGATCTGGATTAGGAGAAATAAAAGAATTTTATAGGAATAATGAAGATTAATAGATGAATAATTGTTTTTTTATGAGAAAATAGTGTAATTAAAAAAAAACATTGTCTAATTTTTAAAACAATAAACAGTTTGATATATTTCTTATATATCTGTATTTTTATTTAATTTATTCCTAGAAAGATATCAAAAAAATATTTGACTGAGAATAACATTTTTCAAATGTCTTTTGAAGCTGATAGAATGGAGAATCTTGATGTTTGAGTGATGAATCTATTGTTCATACATGTTTCGATAACTTTAGAGTCGAAAAGAAGTAGCGATATCTGTTTATTTTTGAAGCATTTCTGGGTATCTTGAATACTTTTGAGCTACAGAACCGTTACTGAAAGTGAGATTTACTAAAGCACCTACTCAAATATTTTAACAATTTCCTTCTTGTATTCAAATATTTTAGCATTTTCAAACTTTAATTCTTTAAGTATAGGTATCTACTGATATTATGAATCCTCCACATGCCTTTGTAGTTTTCATTTTTTCAATGACCTCTTTAATTTTATGGAGTGTTGTGGTTTATAACTTAAATGTAGTTCTGTTAAATAACTTTCTTGGTGAAATTAAATTAGTTTTAGATATTTTCTGTGCTAATTCTAAACCAATTTTGATCCATCTGCAATATACTACCTTACAGTTTTATTTTCCATGACTTGCATAATATGTTTAAAGCTTTTTTGTTCAGATGTTTATTATTCATAAAGGAATTCAATATTTTCCATTAGTTATATACATTTAAAACTAATTGTTCCTACTATATAGTAACATAACAAATACATAACCTTACAATTTTAAAAAATTCTAAATTCCTCAACTATTCTGACGATTAGGCAACACTGCAAGGCCGTGACGTCATAAATGATCTCTGACGTGCATCGGGATTTGTATTAAAAATACTATAAAGGGAAATGAGATAGCAGACAAATTGGCAAAATCAGCACTGAGTATAGGAACAGATTTAACCACAAGTTGTATCCCGTACACTGACTTAACAACAAACTTTAAGAAAACTCTCAGGGACACATTTCAAGCAAGATATAGTGCATCTACTACCGGAATAAATTACATGTGTTGTCAAGAAAAAATTCCAACTGTAAGATGGTTTAAAACCATAACAAACAGGCATTTTATCATAACAATCAATAGAATAAGATCACAACATGCCCTTACCCCAGCATATCAATTCAGGTTTGGCATATCGGAAAACCAGCTTTGTAAATGTGGCAAGACAGGAGATCTCAAACATATGATTTTGGAGTGTAATATCCACAGAGACAGCATTGATAAATTATATAGAGACTTAATCAGAAATAATTTAAATTTACCGATAAATCTTAACGAGATAATATTCTCGAACAATTTGGATATTTATTCGTACCTATACAAACATGTAATACGCTGTAAAATGAAATTGTAAACTACTAACATAATATGTGTGAGCAGTTTTGACAAATAAATAAATATGTAAGTGTGTAGACGAAAAAAAAAATTAAAAAATATATATATATATAAAAAATGTAAACAAAAAAAAATATAAATAAAAAAAAATTAAAAAAAAAACATGTAAATAAAAAACATACAAAAAAAACATGTAAATAAAAAACACGTACAAAAAAAAACATCTAAATAAAAAAAACAAGTAAATAAAAAAAAATAATAATTACACACAGTTATACTAACCACTTAAACCAACCATTGTATCCAATTGAACAAAATCGGTACAAGTTATCACGTAAATAAATACATTTTAAGTAAAAAAAAGTCTGGCTAATTGGTCTCTGCCTTAGCCCCAAAAAAAAAAAAAAAAATATTGCAATAAATTTTATTTATTTTGATCATTTTGTTGATGATTTTAATATTAATGAATATCGTCTCGAATATTTTATAAAAAGAAAAATATAAATACAAGCTAGCCATAAATTAGAGTTTAGACGAATATAATATCAGGCTCTCGGGATATAGTCTATAAATTTGTTTCCTATTTATTTACCTCATACTGATTTAGAAACATCTGTAGCTGCATAACACTTATTCTAAAATCAGTCTCGTTAAATTCGTAGGGAATGTTCCAACCTAACGGTCCAAATTTTCGTCTTTCTTGAATGGAAGCGTGAAAGAAACACAAAGCGTACAACAATTTCTTAAATGGCATTGGTTGCTTGCAAGCTTCATACCATTCTGGATCGCATACAGGGTCGCTCAGATATGATCTACAAAATATATACATATTATACAGATATTATTACTGTTTTAGCGATCATAGGCATATTTCACCGACACTCGTCTATAGTAACATCTACTTAAATCAACCATCAACCAATCAACAAAATGTCTCATTATTCAGAGGTGTAGAGGTTTCTAGAGGTAAGAAAATGGCAATTCATGCATATACATCAAAAGATTTATTAATATTATTTAAATTACTAAATTATTTTTAATATTACAATGGATACAATCTTGAAAATATGATAAATAAAATTTTACATAAAAAATAAAAACAAATATATTTCATAGTTGATAACAAACCTGATAATATTGTTTTTAAGGCCCTTTGGGGGTTCATTAGTCATTTTTACTCCATTTTGTAAAACTAATACAGGAAAATGATCTGCTGGATATGATGTCAACCACAATCTAAAATCTGGATGAGTAGAATCTGGAGTTAAATTTTCACATATCTAAAAAATAAATAAAATTGTAGGGATATCCTACTAGTCCCTTATTTGACAAGAAAAAGTGGCTTATCATGTTTATTGCTTGCTATTTGTAGTTAGATACAGAAGAGGGGGGTGAACAACATGTATACTGTGTCTCGGTGGTGGGAAATGAAGTGTACCCTGTCAAATTAAAAATAATGTTTTTTTTCGATGATTTTTATTGTTTTTTACTCATTAAAAATAAAAAAATCCCTTTCCAAGCATTTTTTGTCGATCGGTTTAGATACATCCGATTTATCGAAATCACTACACATTATTAAAAATACTAATTTGCTACCTGTAGTCATCGCTGGTTAATTCGCAAAAAAGTATACATAAAATAAAAACACTTAAAAAACTACTGTAATTTACCTAAACTATGCGAGAGCGATTGTTTAATTTTAAATAGCTTCAGGCTGTACAGGTTAGGTAAATTAGTTACGTTTTTTTATTTGCCTCATTTTATGTATTATTTTGTTGCGAAACAACACAAAGGTGAAAATTATTTAATTTTTTTTTAAAGCGTTTTTGCTATTTGGGTCATTTTTCAAACTAGTGCATACAAGTCGTTCTATGTCACAAAATTATTTAAATGATATATAAAATAAAATGTTCGAAACCATTACATTAAGCTAAATTCAGTGTATCCAATTAATATGTGAAATTTCTGGAAAAAAAATTTATTTAAGTTTTTTTTGAGTTAGTGTAATTTTCCTCATACTCCGAAGCTGTTACCAGCATTAAAAGTGTCTACGTTTTTTTGTATAATATTTAAACTTATTACAGATATTTTGCCATGTTTAATAATAAAATAAATTAATTTGTTATTGTTTTAATAGCTCTAATTAAACATAATCAACAGGTGGATAAGAATCGATGTTTTAAATCAAATTATAAATTGTATAAGGTTTAGTGGAGCTTTTGAGTTAGCTTTAAGGGGCCACGATGAGAATGATAATTTTGAAAATAGAGGCATATTTAAGGAGCTGGTGAATTTTAGCGCCGAATTAGACAACGACTTAAAGGTTCATATTTAAAGTTCAAAAGCTTTTAAACGTACCAAATGCTGATTTTGATGAACTTCAAATTAAATTAAATACAATTCAAAATATACTTGATGAATTTAATAATTTGCAATACGAAATAGAGGTGGCTTCTCCTTATGAGAGCGGTTCCATTATACTTGATTTAAATGAAAGAGAGCAATTTAAAAGTATTTATTATCAATTAATGTCAGCTGCTGTGACGAAGTCACTAAATTTTATTTTTAATTCATCTTAAAAATGTATATTTCAATTAATTCCCGCCTGAGAACATGTAGAAGTTCCCTCGTATTTCTGTTTCCCAAAAATGACCGATTTTCAACAATTGCGAGTACCCTCGTAGGTTAAAATATTCTTTTATTTCCCGAAATCCGAATGGGCATTTTTAGAGTCGATTTCGTATGAATTATCTACTTTTAATTGTCAAGGTACAAGAAGGACATTTTCTGTATTTCTGAATTGTAAACAATCGGCTGTAGTAGTGGTATCCCCACTTTGTCGTACTAGTCTTCCATCTTTCTTTACCGAAAAAGCATAAATTGATGGAAAGCTAAAAATGCCGCCTCTTGACTCCCGACACCCGAGAAGTACTGATCTTTCTAAAAATTATAGTGACGACGCCGTATAGTGCCGTGACCGTAAATAAGTAGTTGGTTAACCCGTTGGATTTGTTAAGGTAGGAACCGTATATTTTTTTTTATATTGGCTTTCATATAATTAATTGGGACACCCGTGTTACAAATCAAGAATTTTGATTCATGCCCAGCATTTTTTATTTCATTCCTTAGTGGAAACCGTTGGCAATTTTTTTATAAGAAGCACCCAGTATTTTTCATGTAAATTTCTCTTTTCTTTTATTTACTCATTCAATTGTATTTGAATCATTCCGTTCTCCGTCCACGACTGATTATTATTTCAATTATTTTCGAGTGTATTAATTTATTTTTAATAATCAATTTTCGCGTTAATCAGGAGGTGATAGCGGTATTCGCTTGCTTCCTCCTGTCGATAAAAGGTTTCTCTCTTGTAGAAGCTATGGACTACCAGATGTCTACAAGAGAGAGACTTTCAACCGTTAATATTTAATTAGTTTTCATTGGTAACAATTTATTTTTAATAAGTTTTCGCATATAGGGAGCCGTTCATATTTAATTGCCGTTGTATTATTAATTTTTGTAAATATATATTTTAGTACCTATTCCTGTGTTTCTCTTATTACTGGTTCTTAACCGTTCTCTTTCAGGGTACCGTAGGGTACGAGGTGTAAAGGAAATAAGTGTTTTATTTTTATTTATTCTAGTATAGTGGCTACCTAGCAGTGACCGCCTGGAATTATTTTTACCTCCACTGAGTTCACCTTGAGTACACTCTGGTGTACCACAGGGTCGCAGAGCAAACTGCGATATCAAAACTGGCGCCTGAGCAACCCCTATTTGGGAATCACCTTCATAGCGCCACACAGACTCGCAGATTCACTGAAGGTAAACCAGGAGCCCTGTCATACTGCTAAGAAACTCATCAATTATGTAGTAAGTGACAAATATAGTGAAAAATCTCATGTATCTGATAATTCAGAAAAACCAAAGCCTAATCATAAAAATTCTCTAGGTGCTGTTATGGATAACAATATACCTACTCGTTCTGTTGATACTGTTATCCCAAATCCTAATCTTTATGCTCATTCAGCAAATAATGCTAATCTACCTAATGCTATGCCTAATAATGCTGTAAGCTCATATAATACTAACAATCTAATCACTGCTATGCCTAATATAGGTATAAATCCTTATAATGCTAATCTACCTTCTACTATACCTAATATATATACACCTAATAAATGGTTACAATACTTTACCAAACGCAAATAATTATCGTTTTTATCCCTATGGAACTTTAAATGCCATTGATATGTCGAGCAATATCTTTCATCATAATTTACCTAATAGCACATTTGCTAATCTTAATACTCAACCTCAACTTTCTTACGATGCAGGCCTCAAATTACCTGACATCAACCTACCTACCTTCGATGGTTCATTTAAAGAATGGTTATTTTTTTGCAATACCTTTATATCAGTTATACATAACAAATAACACCTCTCAAAGGTTCAAAAGTTTCACTACCTCATGCTTGCCCTAAAAGGTGAAGCAGCAGGAATTATTCGTAATTTACAAATTTCAGAGGATAGCTATGACATAGCGTGGCAAAGCCTGTTTGATCAATACGAGGATATTAATGCTCTCGTGAATTATCATGTCAGATCTCTATTAAAAATGCTGAACATATACAGGGAATCTGATAATAGTATAACGGAAATTCTGGACAGTATAACTCAAAATCTTAGAGTCCTAAAAACACTGGGTGAACCCACATAATATTGGGATACATTAATAATAAATATAATTTATTTAAAAGTAAAACAAAACAAACTCTGTATAAACTGTTTACGCAAAAATAATTCTACATCCAATTTTCATGCGTAAATGCAGAAAATGCGCAAAAATGCATTCAAAATAATGATAATTCTATTAATACACTGTGCTCCACCGAAAAAAATAATTGCGTTCTTCTTTCTACAGCTCTAGTCACCGTACTAGACAGACATGGCGAATCACATAATTGCAGGAATCTCCTCGACAGTGGATCACAAAGTAACTTTATAAGTAAACAATTTTGTAATAAACTAGATCTACCAATGAACAAAATAAATATATCCATTTCTGGAATAAATCAAACTACCTCCAATATTAACAAAAAGGCTATAATAAAGATTCATTCCAGAACAACTGCATATAATACTACCCTATCTTGTTTAGTTATCGACAATATTGTCTCCTCCATACCATGCTTGTCTTTTGATAAAGAAACAACCAGTATACCTCCAAATTTGATCCTTGCTGATCCAAACTTTAATGTAAGCACCCCAATTGATTTGCTTCTTGGAGCTGAATCTTTCTGGGACTTGTTATGTGCAGGACAAATCAAACTAGGTCAAAACGCACCAGTTCTACAAAAACTCTTCTTGGCTGGATTGTTAGGGGTCCCATACAACTTATTAAAAATGACGCATGTAAGAGTATTTGAGGCTTAAGTGTTAAACGCATTTTATTAAAAACGTCCTACGTGACACTTCAGGTTGTTTTATAGTTAAGCTACCTTTAAAAGAGTCTAATATTTACTATTATTCTGACTTCACGATAACAACATCCTGGATAAGAACTTCACTTTAAAGATTTTTATCGCAAATCGAGTATCTCAAATTCAATCTTTATGTAAACCTGAACAATGGTATCATATCTCTTCTCAGGAAAATCCCGCTGACTTGTTTCTCGTGGAATTTCAGCCGTGGAGCTAGAAACCTCGGATCTATGGTGGCATGGAGCCAACAACCTTAAGCGCCCATTTAATGAGTGGCCTATATGTAGGACATGCCGTATATTGCGCTCTGAAAAGTACATTCTATATATGTTGTTGACTGTCATTCTGACATTAATATAATAAAACCCTAATCTCAACTCTGGAGATATTTTATTACAATGGCGCAGTCACGAAACGAATTTATGCAGATAAACTAAAATAGAAGTGTAGATGAGGGATCTGGTGATGATACTGGTGTACCAAGACATGAAGCACGCCGAGAAAACAACATATGCATCGATAAAGAAGACCTAAACAACATGATGTGTCATTGGCTAAAACTAGCATCAGGTTCCAAAAATAACGTAAAAATTTCATTATTCACCGGTATTAATACAGACCCGAATTCATGTATCAAATCTTATGAATTCATGACACGATCGAATAACTGGAACACTGAACAAGATAATATATTCAATCTTAGGTTTGGTTTGGATGGTATTGCACTAAGATGGTATGAACAAATGTTTCAGGATAGTGTTGATGAAAATATGAAATGGTAAGATTGGAAAAAGAGGTTC